ATACACTACTCATGTGAGAGAGGGAGGATGGACTGCATACACGGAAGAAAGGTCCCTCCTTGCGCACACACATGGGGGAGGAGGCGAGACGAAGATGGAGGCGAGGGAGAAGACCAAGATCGCAATAGCGAAGTCCAAAAATAGTCCCTTGCCGAGTGTCCAATCAATGTCTGTCACAAAATGTCGAATCAGATCCTGGGACTATGCCCATAACATCTCTCTCTCTCTCTCTCTCTCTCTCTCTCTCTCTCTCTCTCTCTCTGAAGAAGAAGAAGAGGAAGAAGAAGAAGAAGAAGAAGAAGAAGAAGACTATGTAGTCCTCCTCGCTGTCTCACCTGCAGGTCATGAGCAGGTCGTCGGCGTGCAGTCCCAGCTATGACACCAGGTAAGTCCGCCGGTGCATGTATGTCCTCCGCCCCTCTGCCTACCTATTCCTCAACTCTAACGCAGCGCTGTTGCACCGCTCCAGCAGCGTGTTGCCCAAGAAGTGAGCTACTCGAACTGTGTGTGTGCCCAGCCGTAGCGCAGCTATAAGTAGTGCTGGGCCTGGATGGGTGTGCCTCTGATGCTGGCCCAAAACGGCCCATACGATCTGGGTCTCTACCGGGCATCAGCAGCAAAAACGCGCCTGGCCTCAAAACGGCCCTGCCCCTGGTGTACACAGCCCAAGGCGTAGCCTTGGGGCCTGCGAGTCCGAAATGACGTCTGAACAGACAAAAATAGGACAGCAAAATAAATAAATAAATAAATAGATAAATGAATGCTGTCGTTACTTCGTACCTGCGGCCTGAGGGCCGCCGTGGGCCTCCAGGGCGCGTGTCTGGTGGGCACGCGACCTGGAGGCCCGTCAGCAACGTCGGGCCCCTGAAATGGGGTCCGTGTGCAGGCTCAGCATGTAACAGCCACCCAGCCTAACAGCCGAGGCGGGCTGGGCGTTTTCGACCCGGAGAGAGGAATCAAGGCCTTGTAAACCGAGTGGCTCTTGAAGCTGCTGCTACATCCAGAGCTGCCGTGGCATTCGTTGGGGCTCCGGAGGATCCGCCGGCTGGCCAAATATGTGACTCCGGAAAACATGTGCGGACCGTTTTGGCTCTTGGCAGACCCCTGGTCTGGCAAAAGAACACAGGGTGACGACAGCACTGGAGGCGGCAGTGGACTCCAAAACCCCAAGGCATATTGGCACCACCTCCTAAAGATCTGGCAGGAAGTCAAACCAGCGAAGATACGTGGCCCCAGCAACAGAAAGAAAGTGCTCTGACAACCGCTGTTCTGCAACCGGAACCTTACTTACGCCGGCGGCAGACCCTGGCCGCTCACGGCGATAGACACCACATGGGGAGCGTGGTTGGAAAAGGGGGTTTGGCAAGTCAAGCACCTTTGGAACCACGAGCGAGTCAGCTGGAAAATGTACTCGGAGCTGTGGGAGATGCTGACAGGGTGCCACAACTTGCAGGAGAACAACATCCTTCTGTCAATTTCGGCAGGCTGGCGCAAGCTACTGTCCGCCCCGCCCGGATGGGGCCCCAGGGACTGGGCCACTCTGAGCAGCGAAGAGTGCCCAACAATGGCCCTGGCCTACGTTTCCTGTGCACGTCAGGGGACTGGCTCCTCTTCAACATATACGAGATCATCGCGCCAGACTGCATGCTAGTAGGCTTGCACAGCCAGCAGAGCGCCGCATAGCAGTCCAGTGGGGGGCCCTGCGCAAAATTCGGTTAATGAAAGCTGGGGGGCCCTGTGCAAAATTCAGTTAATGAAAGCCAACGTTTTGTCCGCCTTTGCACCAGCAACACCGATCCAAGACCTTGAAGTAGATCCGGCAGAGTGGGCGTGGACGCTCCCGTCCGCAGATCCTGGCACGGCCTATCGCCGCCTCAGGCTCCTCCAGTACACCACACACCGAGGTTATTGCCTCTGCCGTCAACGGATCAACATTACTGATCTGGTGAGACAGAGGTGGGCTAGGCATGCAGAGCTGGAACTGTCACCCAGGATTCGGTGGGACAAGGTGTTGACTATACGAAACACCAAAGTGCGCAGTATGCAATGGCTGCTGCTTCATTGGGCGCTCCCAGTCGACCAATGGCTTGCGCAACATAGGGACTAGCGTAGCGTAGGACCCCTTGATGACTGCTGCTCCAGATGTGCAAACGCCCAGACAGAGGACATACTGCACTGCTTTTTGCACTGCTCGGAGGCAACCCCGATCTGGGACAGAGTGGGCAACCTCGGGTCCCGGTTAACCAGGTCATCTTTTCCGGAACAGCCACAGCTCCTTCTCACGGGCTTGCTGTTCCCACCAGGCCTTGCACCCTATCAGAAGGTGCTGTTCTCCAGGCTATGCCCGCTAGCACTGTGGAAGAGAAGGTGCACGACCGTTCTCCGGGGCTTGCAACAGCATCCACATCAATCTTGGGAGGAGCTGCTCCAACTGCTGGAGGCTGAGTACAGCACAGATTGGAACAGAACACGACTTCAGATCAAGGCGGACCCGCTAAAGGACGAAATCTTACAGAAATTCCACGATTCAACCCTCAAACGAGGAATGGTCGCCTACTAGCCGCCATTGAAGGAGGGGAACTATGCTTCAGGTGGCCACGGGCTCACTTCGACGCTATGGATGTGGATGACTCGGGAGGCTGGTCCCTCAGAGCCTAACCCCGCCAGACCCGTGACCGCCACCGGGAGACCGGCGCCCTCGCCGTGCGGCTGGGGCCCGGCCACCAAAGGCACGGCTGGTTATTACCCGCTCCGGGGTCTCCCAGGGAAGCCGGTGTTGTGCCGGGCAAAGATAGCCAGCCCGCACGCAGCCACAGGCGGGCACGGTCAAGCAGATGGGGTGGGCTAGAGTCTGCAAAAGAGCGAGGAAAACTTAAGGCTTAGGGTGAAGATTGAAGCCTAACACAGCGGCAGATGGGTGGCAAGCCTCCTAGGGGGTCCAGAGATGTAGTGGGGTTCCTTTGGGGTCTCGAAATGGTGTACTTGGCCAGCGCCCTGTCTGGGCTGCTCAAGTGCAACTGGGTAAAGCTCCCAGCACAGTTGTTATGTTCTTTATTGAAGGGAGCTGGGCCCCATTCCCAGCAGGTTCAGCTCCCCACCAATAGAATGGAGCCGTCCACAAGGGGTCTCGAACCCGTTGGCTCTCTTACCGCCACGGGACCGCAGAACCTCGCAGGATGTTCGGATCATGTTCCTAAAAAAAAAGGGAAAGAAAAAAAAAAAAAGTGTGTGGCCCTGGGTCCAGCAGGGAAAGGGTCCCATGGGACTGTGTCATGGGATACCCTGCTTTCCCCTTAATAAGATTTAGGGAAAGAATTGTTTGTGTTGCAAACCTGTGCAATAAACTCAGTTCAAAATCGAGGTCGGTCGCTTCAGGAAGGTTTCCTCGTTGCTTTTCCACGCACAAGGCGCTGCCACGACGCGACTTTCTTCAATCCAATCGGAATACAGACATTGGAAATCAGCATGTTGAAGGTTGGTCACCAGAAAACCGGTTTCTTTCGGCTGGCCAGAGAGAGTCATGACCAACGCCCATAGAATATGTCGACGAGGGCACAGCACTTCGTGTGTCCTCTTACGCACGGTGCACCATAACCAAATAGTTGCCAAGTCAAGGGCAGGGTCGTTACTTTTGGTCAAAGCCAGATAGAGGGCTCAAAAGTCGCGACCTGAGTCCCTTAGAGGTCTGAGCAAGTCCCTAGCGTCAAGGGGTACTTGGTACTGAGTCAGAAGCTGCGTACAGTACCTCCACGGGGTACGGTTGACTCTTGGAAAATCAAGAGTCAGACCCTGGACCGGAATTACAGGCCCAAAAGTCAAAAGTCTCCCATTAAGTCAACCATGGCCGTAGATCAGATGCACATCCAAGGTTGTCTGCAGGTTCCGGAAGATTCCAGTTCCATCAGGACAGAACACATCTGGGACAGCATTACATCCAGGCCGTCGACTTCAAGGAATTTCGGCCGTCAACACGGTCCAAGAGGAGGCTGGTCAGCGCCAGTCAACACTATAAGAAGGTAAGGCCGAGGGCAGGCTCATTCTGCCTTGCGCAGGCTTGTGGCCAAGTGCTGCTTTGCAAGTCTGCTGGTGAGAGTTGTTGGCGCCAGATGCTCCGGGAGGGCACCAGCCTCGAGGAAGGACATGTTGGAGCAGTCATAGCCGCCATAGCTATAGGAGTAGGTGATGAGGTTGGGCGAGGAGGAGGAGGATCAGAGCTGTGAGACTAATGAGATATTTGAAGAGAAGATTACCTGGACTAACCTGGCGTCAACGCGATTGATCTGCTGCCGCTGGTCTCCACAAAGGTGAGGAAGAACAGTGCCGTCCTCCATAGCTTGATGTTGACTGTGGAAGGAGGATGGTCGCACTGCTACGATTTGCACAGTGACTATGTGAGTGGACGTCAGAGGAGGGCATGCATTACTGAGATGGCAATAGGGGAGAAGCCCGAAGAGAATGTGGGATCAAGAGAGCAACATACATGTATTATTGATTTTAAATGTAACTCTCCTCCTCCTCTTCTATGTCTATTCTCTCTTCCACCTATTCTTCAACTCGTTTCTATGATTGTATGACAAGTGCAATCAATCGTGACATGGACTTGCGATTATTTGGAGACTTCATGAAAGTGCTGGGTTCAGATGTGTGTGACAATGCTGTTTCGCTTCTCGATGGGACAGGGTTCATTGCAATTTGGTATCAGAGCAGTCTCCACTTACCTTGCCATCCTGCTAATGATGACTACGAGTTGGAAATGATGATGATGACACAGTTACTCAAGAAACATTCCTGAATGCTTGGCCGATCAGACAGCCGAGATGAGACGGCAGGTTCGTGGTTGGCCGGCCGAGCATTACATAGAGGAGGCCAGCCCAGTAGTAGAAGGGAGACTTCATTTCCTTCTCGGGTCACAAGGTAGAGCAGCCCAGCGTTAGACGAGCTAGAGGAGTGCTGTGTGGTGGTAGCGGAGACTGGTGGTGACGGTGGAGTAGGCCACTCACCTGCCGCAATCCTTGAAGGTCTGCCACCGGCCATAGCCGGCCCTCTTTGAGACATATGCAGTGCATCAGAAGCTCAGGGCTCTGCCTTTCACGGGTCAGTATCATCTCCATATGAGAGAGAGAGAGAGAGAGAGAGAGA